TCCTGGGAAGAGAGCTACTAGGAAAATGATAACTCAAAGATATTTATGGACAAGTATGAATAAAGATATAAATGAATGGTGTAAATCGTGCCTAGCTTGTCAAAAATCAAAAGTGCAACGCCACACTATATCACCTGTCGGGAACTTTATGCCATCTCAACGTTTTGAACATCTACACATCGATATTGTTGGACCGTTACCTGTTTCTCAAGGAAAGCGATATTTAATTACAATGATAGATCGTTGTACTTCTTGGCCGGAAGTATTTCCCGTTAAAGATATCACAGCCGAAACAGTAGCGCGCATACTGTATGAGGGATGGATAGCAAGATTCGGATGCCCATTACGCATTACTACGGATCAAGGTCGACAATTTGAATCAAGAATATTTGAATCACTTTCACAATTTTTAGGAGTACACAAAATTAGAACAACGCCTTATCACCCACAATCAAATGGAATGATAGAGAGATTTCATAGAACTTTAAAAGCGGCGCTAATATCAAGAGAATCTAATGCTAATTGGATGAACGAAATTGCTTCAGTTCTACTTGGATTACGAAGTTGTGTACGCGAGGACACAGGATATAGTGCAGCAGAGATGATATATGGCGCACCTATAAGGCTTCCCGGAGAATTTTTTGAATCGTCACAGCCTTCGACATACGAAGAATTTGTCACAAATATACAAAAGGACATTTCTCGTATGACATCAACATCAAAACGCAAGAAAATTAAACAAACAGTTTTCATTCACCCCGAGCTCAACAAATGCTCACATGTATTCGTGCGCTGTGACAGAATAAGGAAAAGTTTAACACCACCATACGAAGGACCATTTCTAGTGACAAAGAGGATAGATAAGACGTTTATCATTAAAATTGGGGACAATGAAAAAGCAATATCTATAGACCGATTAAAACCTGCATTTGTCTTCAATAGTGGAACGAACGTGCCAAATTCAGAAAATAATCACAACGGGCGGAACACGTACATCACGAAGTCAGGACGGGCGGTTAAGCCGACAGTACGATTCGTCACTTGCTGACACAAGTAATCAGTCCATTTAAATACTCACCGTATTTTGAAAATACCATCATATACCGTCAGTATCTACGAGAGAACAATGGGCAACCAAAGCTCCAAAGATCAAATCGTATATAACTCCGACAGTTGCCTTAATCAAAATGAAGCCGACCATCTCAAAAGTCTTGTCCTGGAAGAGCTACGGTGGACGAGAAACATTGCAATTGGACAAATCCTCATCACAATTGGCATCCTTCTTCTCTACGGAATACTGAAGACCTTAGACAGAAGAGTGAAAACAATAGCAAGAAACAATCAGCACAAATGCAGTGGATAGTTCATCGACTGCCGCCGCCGTCACAACAAAGGCAGCAGTTTTTATTTCCTTCGAATTAGCAACAATGACATTACATTACGCATAGGATGTAATTTATCAGCAAGGTTAAGTTATTATATAATTAGGTACATACTAATTTTTTTTCAATTTATATGTTAATTATTTTTAAAAGGGGGGAGTATGTGCCATATATGAGTTGAGAGGCAAATAACATATGCAAGTATGCTCCAAAGCTTCCAGTTACGTTGGTAACGAATGCACTCATCGCTGTTGGCTGCAAGTAAGGCCCGGTAATACAATTTCCCGCTACTCTGACGCTATTGCCATCTTGGGGACAATTTGGCCTAATGCTTGTGCATCGCGTGTTCTCAACGAACATTGTTAAAATATTTTGCTAAAATAGCTTTAACCAGTAGGTTTTGAGCAAATTGAAACTTTAATACAGTTTTTAATTCCACTTGTAGCACAATGAAAGTGGTTTTGAACGAAACACACACATACAAATGGCCTCTTTTACAAAAGTTTGGTATGAACACACAACACGTACGTAGTAAGCTCAAAGAAATTTCCACGGCGACAGAAAAAATGTACCTACTACAAACCCGTTTTGAATACACGCGTATACAGTTTGTTACAAAGCTCTTTTGAAACATAAAACCCTTGTTCAGTCACCTTTATTCTTTGAAACTTGCCTATAAACCCTGTGATATTCTTACGTAAGAAACATAGGTTAGAAGTCATAAGATCAATAATCTGGCTAAAAAGGTCCTACAAGCAAGTGCCTACTCAACTTTAATACATAATTTACATCTTAAATACATTTAGCGTTCCTTTACCTAACTTTTATTATATCTTAACTTAAATTTGATATGCAGGTGTGTTAAACATTTTTAGTTTACATTTAAACTGAAAACCTATGATATGAATGCATTTAATTACTGCCTTAACATATGTCTATCATTTATCTATACGCATTACTCGGCACATACTTCTTGGTGCTAAAAAGTATACATATCTCTTCCAAATACTTGTAAAGTTCACAACAATACGAGACTTGAAAACCGAATGTGTGCGATTGAATGTGAACACGATATGTCATTACATCAATAAGAATCGTAGATACGGAGGGCTCCAGAGGCAATTTCGCGGACGACAATTTTTGTCGCCATTTCGCGTTAGAGTGATTTCATTCCACGAGAAGACATAGCTGTCGAACTAGCTTATCGGACGGGCACAGTTCGACGTATCTTCGATTTATCCACTTGTCTGGCTACGGCTCAATACTAGGGACATTTTGATCTTTTTACAGACCCGATTAGTGATTCACATCTCTATCGGCCAAACATCTGCGTGACTAAATTGCGTCTGACAGGACCGTTAGGCTAATAGGACCATGCCCTACGGATTAATTAACTGTACACTGTCGAATAATCTCTTTGTTCTCTAGTAACGACTTGTATGTTAGAGATAATCAGCAAAATTAACCGCTTTTATTGCCTATTAAATATTGCTGATGCTACAGTATAGTTTATAACTTTTGTGAAATGCTTGTCTTTGCATAGTGAACTTACTCTTAAATTAATTATTACCGTAATATCTTCGAGCGTATCAATTGTATATACCTATCATTCTATATGAGATGAAAATCGCACGTAATATATTAATTGGATACTTGGACCGATATTGGAGTTCAAACAAGAATTTAAGCAGGATAGTTAGGAAGAAGTTCCCATTAACATTCCTGGGTGAAGGGGGCAATAATGTGGGTGTTCTACGGCAAACGTTTCACTCCAGCAAATGGCCGCGCTCCTTGGATATGGGTATTCTGTTACGAATGGACGGGCTTCATCGCTTAAGTAAATGCTACTGCGGACGCCAGTTCTATGTTGTTTGTATGGAATATGCTAGATAACATAGTTTAAACTTAATTCAATGAAATTGCTACAGTTTTACTTTATATCATCATATAAAAAACTGTTATTACACAAATCAAAATCTAAACAATCCTTAATTTACGTAATGTAAAACTAGTGTTACGGAATAAGTACGAAGATTTCTTAGCTGTAATGTAAGCATTTATTAGACAGGTTCTAGCGAATTTATATGAAGGTTTAAGAAGTTTCGCGAACTAAAACTTACCTGACAAGTAGATGTCAGATATGCACGGTTTCAAACATGGTCTTTAAGATTATTTTGTGCGTGTTTATAAATAAAAGTTTAAAATAGGAGATAGGTTGCGTCTATGCATAAATGTAAGTATATAAAATAATATATAATAATGGATTTATTATATATTATTAATACATAAAAATAATTATAATACTAGGATTATATTCACTGCACGCAAGTACTTTATTCATAGGAGAACAAAGATACCGCGAGAAGTTTTATACTTAACATAAAACGTGAAAAGATTTTAAATACTTGAGCACGAATATAAACTTCAGAGACAAGACTTAGACGTCTACATACAAATGTACAAAAGTTATGGGCTAATATTGTAAGCTTAATACAAACGTTACAGTACATTCTAGGGTAAAATTAGCCGACAGTTTGTAACTGAAGTCTATATCCATTGTTAGTAAAGTTTTTTATGGCGAGTACGGTGCAAAATAGCGCTTTACGTTCCAACAATCTCTGATGGTACACTTGAATTTATCGCGCGGGTTACAGTAAAAGGGCTATGTACCCGGCGCGGTACCGGCAAGGCGATATTATTCGGCGGGGGTGCGTTTTGTTTACAAATTGCTTGGCGGCGCGTGCCCGCCCTTCCTCGCCTCGAATCACCTCGAGATAAAGCGGCTGCTGCTACCCGCCGATAATTTTCTTAAACCTTGTTTTATACGTACGCTGAACGGTGATTTCAGCCGTAAATGGATTGATCCAGTTTACGGCATCTCCTACCTCGACTCTGAGAAATTAGAGTGATGCCGTAAAATGAATACAATAACGGTTTTTTGCAACAAAATTTTATATTAAGACGATTTTTGGATTTTGTTTGAAAGGTTACAATTTTTTTAGTCAAGTTTCGTCACGTTGGTTTGAATATTGAGTAATAGAATATAGATAGTTACCTATTCATTAAATAAATTCTTCATTTTAGTGTATGAAGAATAATCATGTTTTGTTAGGTCTAAAAATAGTTCTATTTTATAATTTGAAGACCTGAAACGGTCTGAGAAAGTTGTTGTACCGAACAGAAATTAATATTAAATTATTCGTCCTCATAAATATTCTAAAGTAGGCAGCAGATGTATCCTAACTTACATGCTATAAATATATACTTTTACATAATGTGTAGCTTAGTTCAATACAAGTGGAGATTAAAGACCCTCGGAAGCGTCAACATGGTCCCCGTCACATCTTCCAAATAAATTAAAAAGGAGTAAGATCCTTCCCCGAGTGTCACTTCGTTAAATATTAACATCTACAAATGTACATTTAAGGTTGATTTTACTCTGACGTTTAAGAGTTATAAAAATATTTATCAGCAAAATTGCGTTTGGCCAAGATGTAATGAAAAATTCACCCTTGCGACCTCTGTAACTAAACTGTAACGATATTGGTGGACTTTTTTATTCTAATAAAATATATACTTTGTGTCAAGCCACGGTTTCGTTTATGTGTACCTATATTCATTAATTTAATGTATTTTTCATTACAGAGAGCCGCACTTGTACGCAGTCAGAGTTCCGCTGCAAGACAGGAAGATGTATTCCGTTGTCCTGGCACTGTGACAATGAAAAAGACTGTCCTGATGGTTCAGACGAGGAGCCGGGCACATGCAGTCAGTATCAAACTTTATTGCTTTTACTTACAACTCCTTTTAAAACACTCAACATGCTTTTACCATAATAAATTTTTACAATGTTGAAATTATGTTTGATCATAAAACGAAACTAAAATATTAATTAGAAATTCATTAGTTATTGTCTTATCAGAAATTAATTGAAATATTACCAAACCGGGAAATACTATTATTGTAAGTTATTTCTTGCGAAGTTTTCTTGGAAACATCAAAAGTAACGTTGACTATGGTTGGCGGCCTACATAGTCTATGTTTGCGCGTGAAATAAGCAAACACTGTTATTTTGGCAAATTTACTTTAGGGTCGTGTTGGCAGTCAGTCGCCTATTGTTTAGACGTAGAACAATGAAAAAACAAGGTCGCCGAATGACAAAGCCAGTGAGGGTATGGCAACTGGACAATCCTGCGTACCCGACCCCAGTTAGCCCTCGTTATTAGAAAGCAAAAACTTTTTATTAGCCGCAATCCCGATTTAAACAAGTAATGCCTTCTGTGTGATCAACATTTATCATGCGGTTCACTGCACTGGAAAAAAAGAACTCCAATAGCAATTATTTTACGTAAAATAGTTTAATATACCCTCCGCTAGATATTTAAATAATGAAAATATTTCAGATTAAATGTATCATATAATTTTGAAAGTTATGTTAACGAGCTTTACAATTATCATTAGATTGTTATTATCTTTCGTTGTAATTAAATCTATTTCAAATAATGACTTGGTTACCAACATGGCGACTGAATATCTGGCGCCAGGAGGTCAAAGTAATGGGATGGCATCAATTCAAGAACTGAAACCGTAAAAAATAATTATCTAACGATTTATGGGCAAACTTTTGAAATACGCGTATTTTGTCCTTAGCGGGACTTCCAACGCAGATTAAAATCTTAATTACGGCCAACTTTTTAGGATTAAGTTTATAATCTCTGACCCCTCACCTGTTCCCACAAAATCAAAGTTCAAGAACATAATACATTTTGATGAAAGAGATTTATTTTATTATAGCGTTAAGAGAGTAGTTTATAAACATTTAATTTATAATTAATACAAAGGAACAGAATTACTCATTCCTTTATTTTAAGTTTTTTAACATAAAATAAACATTAGGTACTCCATAGTAAACGTTACGTGAAAAATGCGAATAATCACAAAGAAGCGAGGTCCTCCGAATGAATTTTTGCCGAGAGATTGTGGTATTTAAATAAAACACGTAATACGAATTTAAACATTCCATGGGGTGCGCAGAGGATCGCGTTAATTTATTTATGGTTGACACATGAGATAACGGACTGCGGCGGGAATGTACGTTGCAAATTGGACCTGCTCATGTCGGGAACTGACACATGTATGTCTACATGACTGTTGTTTCATCATGCCATTCCCCAACTTAGTTTTTGATCGGTTTGGTACCGGATGACCAAGAAAGTATTATTTTCTGATGAAATGCCTCGTCCAAATTCTCAAGGCTCTGGAGTTAATACAAAGATAACACTAGTGAGATGCTTAAGTGCCTAAGTTTTTAAAAGTTATTCTTTATAATTTAAAAGTTTCCAATAAATATGAAAATGGAGTTCTGTTTTCCAGCGAAAACGAAAACGGCATGGTTGATATGAAAATTTTATAGCTTTCATATCAGTTACGTGATGGATCTAGCTGAAAATAGTGAGCCCCTGGGGATTTTTGTTCATGTGGTATACGTATAAAATATGAGATACCAATAGGTATTTCGCTACCACAACTCGTTCAAAGGTAGACTAAAAAAAGCGCGGGTAAATTGAGTACCCAAACAATTTGCCTTACCATGCATAAAATTTACCAAATTGGAATTGCATTTTCGGTTTAAATAGAGATAGAGGTCTAAAAATACAGTGTATGAAATAAACGACTGACCACCCCATTATTCAAATGTGAAACGAGTAGAAAATTGCGCGTTCGCTTTTTTCGTTTGTCGATCCATGGCGAGGGTCAAGCTATAAATTGCGATTTTTATCACCGACACTTTTCAATATAAGTGACCCGTAAAATTAACATGCCTCCTCACATATTACGATATTTATGTATTCACTTATGACACATCGGATGAGAAATACATAGATATTCTTTAAATATAATATAAAGATATTATAATACACATAATATGCAATTGAATAAAACAAAAGTCATTTATAAACATTCAAGTTTATGATTAGCTAGGTATATGAAATGTTTTGGCTAATTAAAATGTTGAACCATAAATTACTTAATTCAGCATTATACCTCAAAAATTAATGAATTTATAATGTACTGAAAACAAACAAAAGTACTTATAAAAAGAGTTTATCCACAGTCAAAGGGACTTAATTCCTTGTTTTTCTCAAACTGCAACGGTGTGTATAAAATGCTTGTGAAAGTTTGCGAAGGTTTTATTTAGCGGAGGTGGGGTTATGGCAACCGCGGGCGTAACTTTGTACACTTAGAGCCACTGTAAGTCGTCCCACATAATGGAAAATCCTTTTTTATTTGGCAGGGACACGCAATGTTTTGTAGGCGACAATGTAGAAGTTGGATATATACATCAACTTTATATAGCTAATCTGGCTTTGTTGTTTCTTGTTGACAAATGTATTTATCACCCAGGCTTCAACTGTAACGCTATTTTCCGGGATAAGTAAGCTTTATGGTGTCATGTTACTCTCGGTAAAGGAGTCCGAAACTGGTGGATATTAGACATCTGGATATCTTTGTGACGCTATTTGACGCGTTGCATTTTATTTACTTGTGTTATCACAAGTAAGAGTTTAATATCATATTTAAAATATTCGTCATGCCCTGAAATGTTAACTTTGTTAAGACAGCAGTTCAGTTTAATACTTCTATTAAAAACAGTTTTCTATATTTACACACCAATACGAATGATTGTGTAAGGTAACTAAAATGATTTAAGTGATTATTAGTATTGAAATTAATTAGAAACCCATAAATTTAGATATTATAATATTTTTACAACACAAATTATCGTAAAACTAAAAAAAATACTAAAGATATTTAAAGAAGATTGATTAATATGTTTTCTTGCTTTAAAAAAAAACAGCTCAAGTTTTGTCGCCTTTAGAACACAGCTTAAATGCATTAGACTAAGTACTGTAGTAGGTACATAGTGTATAGCCAGCAGATCCCAGTAAAAACTTTCAGCTGGAGTTACTAAAGCTTTCTCAATTTGCGTCTCTTGAATTTTGTTAGCTTCGTCGCAAAACAACATTACACTCTAATAAAGGATGTTTAGAATCATTAATTACGTTTTAGCTGCGCCCGTGCTTAGTATGACCATTTATTATATTGCTTAAGCACTTGGCTAGCATTTTAAACGTGTTTGCTTTGTCAACTGAAGTTGGTACTGATAGCCTCGTTTCAAGTCGGTCCGTTTGCCAAGATTAATTACGTCAGTGTAAATTGTTTATATTACAAGCCCCCGATTTATTTAATGTCTGATCGCAGATAGTTTTAATTCTGTTAAGCGGTTGACGCCTTGAAATAGGTCTTGTAAATAATATACGAAAAGGAAAGCGCACCATAGAGGATTTAATCAGGGTTTAATATGGCCCAGATATTTTTTTATGTACGTCAGTGGGTATTCAAATCATAAAAATAAACTCCAATAAAATAGTAGACATAAAAGGGGATGATTTGTTATCAAATCAATCAAAATTTCGTATACAGCTATGCAAAGGCGTTGTCCGGAGCACAAATTTGTGTGCACAACAGGCCAGTGCATACCCATCTCATGGAAATGTGACGATGTGGCCGACTGTTTGGACGGCTCAGACGAACACCAGTGCGGTAAGAGCATGGTCTCGTAAAGATGAAAGCATGAAACAACAATTGGCATGTCGGTATCCTCGGGCCGTCATATTTAGGACCGTCATAAGCATGCGAGTATAAAAGCGAAGGTATTTTACGAGCGCTATAAACTTCTTCAATTTTGATGAATATACTTATGATTTTCTATCGTTCGAACGTTGACTTTTGCTACCAATTTTATTACCTAAAGAATTGGGTACAAAAGAATAATAGATTAAATTAAAATAAAGGAAACACGCAATTACAGTTTGACTTTAGGGAAAATAAAAAGTAAAATAAACTAATTATTTTGCTGGGTCATCACAGTAATTGGAGTCCTAGTTAGGAAAATTTTCCTCGTTGGTATATTTTAGGGGAAAAAGAGCCAAAGGGCTTAGGGTAAAGTAGATAGGATAAGAAAACAATGGATCCAGATCGTCTTTGAAAGGATTTGCCACCTTATCATGTCTGTTTATATTAGCATCGTACTTAGCATGTGCATGAATGGGTTGACAGAGGTGAAGTCGTGCGGGCCAGAAGAATTCACTTGCAGAGGAAGAGACGGCGAATGTGTCCCACTCACTTGGATGTGTGATGACAATGCGGACTGCTCTGATGGATCAGATGAAAAAGCATGCAGTAAGAACGGTCTTATAATACATGGCTTGAGTAATTACGTAAAATAATATATTTACCTTTGCCCTAAAACGGCAGTCTTTAAATAATTAAATTTCTTTGTATGTCTAACTTACATAATTACTCTTGCTATTATTTATATTTTATATTTTATTTTATACACATGGGTTAGCATTTGACACAAACGATACCATCAATAGCATTTTTCCCTCATTGGTACCCCATTTATTATCAAAATAATGACAATGTGGAAACTGCATGTTGCCGACCTAAATATATTATATCTAGTTAAGTTATTATCACTAACGTATAAAGAGCACATGAATAACTACTATTTTCTCAGATATCTCTAGTGTTCCATTTACCTAGTTATGTATTTCAATGTTATTATTTCATTAACGTAATGTGACGTGTTTTGTGACACTGATTTTATTCTTACTGAGATCGAGTGACGCGATAGTTTTGGTTCCTTGGTAGAACGATCTAATATTCGCTTCTTATATTTTTTAATTTGATAAATAATGACTGATTTTTTTCTTAAGAGACAGTAGAGACATTTGTGTGGAACTTAAACGGAAAATGAGTACGTATCTTGATTATTGAAAAGTTTTTAGTATATATATTAATCTATAATATATTTATATATATATATATATATATAGATAATGAGAACATATGAAATCAAACTATTAAAATTAAAGTTCTTGTGCTGAAATAATGTTGTTGAGCGACATGTTTTGGTGTATGTATATCCAATTTTGGTCCCGTTTCCTCGATGAACACGATAAACTTAGAACGATTCGTGCTCGGTATCGGCAGGACCAATCAATCATGGAGTCGGACTCCAGTAAACTCCGAGTATTCTATCAACGCTCGGCTCATCCATCTATAAATTCTTATCTACCCACACTGGTCCGACACAGTGGCGTGAGCGATGACATTGCGTGCCTTCTTCAATACATGTGAAGCTTTTCTTACGGTTAGAAGGCACATCACAGTTATGCAATAGTTTATGTTATTACATACTAATTTACTGCTTGATTCGTTTAAAAAAACTATATTCTATGGTGAACGTATGCAAATTTGTTGGATTTGGAATACTCTGAGAAAATTACTATATCATATTGTGCGTCATCTATACAAAAAATATAAAAAATATATATACTTGTTTGATGAAAGATATGCTTAATGTAATGTGGGTTTTAAACTTAACGTGCTCTTTATACTCAGTGTGATTTTTAGACATTTCAGACACATACAAAACAAATATTTATTGTAACATTGTAGCAGTGAATTAAAAACCTTTTGTGCCTCGAAATTAGTTTGCCCTTTATTACAATTCGTTTTATTATTCAATTTGCATTGAGCGAGGGAAAAACATCTAATTTACCAATTCACTGCCAGACAATGTTTATTTAAAGTTTAAATCATTTCAGAATGTTGGCGAAAATATTAGGCATGACCGATTGTGCAATTTTAATTAAAAATGTATTCAATGTTTTGTTTTGGCTCAAAAACATTAATTGTTGTTAAAAAGGACTCGCTCGCTTATAATGAATATTATAATGAATATTTTTCCAAGAGAATAAGTCATAATTAAATTGAGTGCTTATCAGAGCCCGATATTTATTTTAAGTTTTTAAAGTATCGACCCTTATTAACTTCAGAACTATTTCGCCAATGTTCTTAAATTATATTTAAATGTATGGAAATATTGAATGCTGTACTTATACCCAGTATTATATAACAGAATGTATAGGGTAAATTTCAACAAGAATTTGAAGTATACCGTCGCGTCTGAAAGTTTCCGAAGTTCACTAGTCACTATAACTTCAGACAATTCTGTACATTCAAGACGTTACAAAATTCAAATTTCTGTTGAAAATTTACCTTTAATCTGATAAGCCAGTTAACTAAGCCAACTTAACTAAATCTACCAGATGAGACATGTCGTTCGGACGAGTTTACTTGCGGCAATGGCAAGTGCATCCAGCTGAGATGGGTGTGTGATGGCGACGACGATTGCGGAGATGACAGTGACGAAGTGAAATGTCCCGCACCTACCTGCCACCCACAAACTCACTTTTCGTGCGGAAACGGACACTGCATTTCAGCATGGTGGCGCTGTGATGGTACTGAAGACTGTCCTGATGGAACTGATGAAGTGGTAAGTTCGTGTTTCTTAATTAAAAAAGCAAGCAAAAAGCAGTCGATACATGCAAAAAATAGCAAAGTATATAACAAGCTACTGTTAGTTAATGAAGCTAAAGTATTTAGAAGCAAGTATAGACGAAAGATATGTAATCTTTAGCTTACCGTATCCACATAATCTGCTAGTAATGCGGTACGACACGACGGAAGAGATAACAAATCCTACTCACAGCAGCGACCACCCAATCGTAACTGTGATACACATCGTGTGCGTCAGTTTTATCTGAAAACTAGATGTAATCATTATAATTGGGATTAATGTAATCGATGGATTATGGTCTGCATAATTGATTGAATCAAAACTAATTACCTATAGCAAGAGATATAGTGAAAATAACTCAAAGATACGAGAAGCACACACAATTCTAACTCCTAAAATGTAGGTATGGCACTGATGCATCTAACCTCATTACTTCATTTACTTTCCAGGGATGCACGGCGACCCCAAAAGTACGATCTCCATGCATATCATCAGAATTTGAATGCAAAGACCGCATGACCTGCGTCCACAAAGCGTGGGTGTGTGATGGCGACCGCGATTGTCCTGATGGAGGAGATGAAGATCCTCAGCTCTGTCGAGGCAACGTCACGTGCAGATTAGACCAGTTCCAGTGCAAAGACCACAGTTGTATCCCTGGAGCCTTGTATTGCAACGGCGATAAAGACTGCCCGGACGGCAGCGATGAATTAAATTGCAGTAAGTATTGATACCTATATACAAAATATTCTCTATACATAAAAAATTAAAAAAGGAAGACACTTACGTGTTAGAAATGTAATGTGTAACTCGGGAGTCATTTACTAGTTAAATACAAAGTATCATTTGCAATTATCTCATATTTTCTCGTGAAATATGATTGTTACTAAATACTTGAATCTTGTTGAACTATAATCATCAAACCAATTTTCTGTGATTTCAGCTGTAACAAAGACTGTATGCGACAAGAAGACAGAATTCGACTGCGGAGGTGGCATGTGCATTCCTCTCTCAAAGGTCTGTGACAAGCATCCTGACTGCCCGAAATTTGAGGACGAGCCTCGAGACAGGTGTGGAGAGAACGAATGTGCGAAGAACAATGGAGGATGCACACAGCGATGTGTTGATACCCCAGTCGGATATTACTGTGACTGTGATAAAGGATACAAACTTGTGGATAACAGGACTTGTGAAGGTAAGAATATAAGTATAGTTACTTACTAATAAAAAATGCTATAGAATCCTTACGACAGGAATTTAATTAAAACACGAAATGTAATGTTCTGAAAAAGCTAAGAATTAAAAAAATGTGTTAGTGGATGTTTATTTCGAATTGAATATGCTCAATTTGAAGCCATGTTATAGGATTGAGTTTATTTTATTAAAATTGGCATATTAAAAAAAAATAGTATTTTAACTTCGATTTCTATGTAAAATTGGTCGAAATCAGATAATAATAACATAGAAAATTGTAAACAATACATATGTGATTAATTGATGACTTAAGAATATGCACTACCTTCTAAAAAACTAATCAGTAGATAATTATGGATATATCTGATAAACATATTTTCATTACGCTAATTAAAACTGGTTACAAATCATCTACACCAATTAGATTAAATCCGTATTTATTTATCGTAAAAACGTAAATATGATTAATTTCTTCGAATCAGATGGAACTACAACAGGAAAATGTGTCAATTATTTTTATTTTTGGTTTTCTTTAGTAGGTACTCAGTTTTGATAACCGCCCACTTATTTGCGTTTAATTGGGAATTATAAAAATAAAGTATGGTATTATCAGATATAATTGTAGGCTGACTAATAATGAGTCATTAATGACCCTTGACTATAAATAAACCTATAAATCATTTTCGAAATTACGTGTATGTAACGTAACATAAGAAAAGAATAAGAACCTTTTTGTAATGTAAAACTTTATTTCTATCTTACAGATGTAGACGAATGTTCGGATCCTGGCGCATGTTCCCAAATGTGCATCAACGAAAAAGGAACTTTCAAATGTGAATGCCATGCTGGTTACGCCCGAGATCCTCGTGATCGCACCAGGTGTAAGGCAACAGAAGGACACCCATCACTACTGTTCGCTAGACGATTTGATATCCGCAAGATCAGCCTTGATCATCATGAAATGGTTGCTATTGTCAATGATACGAAGTCAGCTACAGCTCTCGACTACGTCTTTAGAACTGGAATGATCTTTTGGAGTGATGTTACGGATGAAAAGATTTACAAGTGAGTAATTTCACCTGCAGTCAAGTCAAGTCAAAACCATAATTATATTTCAATACAATAATCCCGCATTGGAGATAAATCAGAATTTAGATAGCTATGTATGGCTTCAACTCACTACTAGACGTTGCACCAAAGCTTTTTATTATGGGATAGGCGCTAAACTAGCAGACCAACACCTGAGGGTAATCCATCAAGCAACGCCTTTAGACAATGGAAATGGGCATGCAAATCCAGTATTGTTGCAAGCCATTCAGGGATTTGAGAATTAGTTAAACTTCCTCATTTTCTTCGTTATGGGGTGGCTTGATTGTAATTTGAAGAATCACTGTTGCTCTCATACATTTTATTTATGTATCACCTATTATGGCAAAAAATCTCAAGAATAGAATAGAATCTCACTAAAAGATGATTAAAGGAGCATCTGCATTATTTGTTTAGACCACGAGACAATGGATACTCACCATACCGTTACATATACAAATAAAAACAAAATACGCTATATAAATAAATAACTTATACTTATTTTCAAGTAAAATAAATTAATGGCATTTTTCACATAATTAATAAAATACTTCTCCAAATATAGCTTAGAAATACTTATCTCGTAATAAATAATTGTTTCTTAACTCAGGGCACCAATCGACGAAGGCACCCAAAGGACGGTGGTGATCGGAGACCAGCTGATCACTTCAGACGGGCTCGCTGTCGATTGGATCTACAACCACTTGTACTGGACGGACACTGGAAAAAATCACATTGAGTTATCAGACCTCCAAGGGAATATGAGGAAGATCCTCATCAGGGACCAGCTTGAGGAGCCCAGAGCAATCGCTTTGAATCCTCTTGATGGGTAAGTTTGTTTAAATTACTTAAGTAAAACTAGCACAATATTAATACAAAGAACAGACGACACGCTTACAAACTTTACGTTTATGAGTTACAATACTTTCTTCAAGACATTGAAGACCAAATTTTATTTACGCTTTTGGTAAAATAATTATAGCCATACCCTAATCGACCTCACTTCACTACTGAATGATGAACAAGTTATTTCATTTTCTTTGGCAACAATATTACAAAAACCTTTACAAGAGTTAAAGGATTTTTTGGGCATCAAAAGAAAATATTCGTTTATTCCAATGACGTAGGTATTCGTTTTTGACATCTACAGTGACGTGACTGAAGGACCTTAGGCCTTAGGCTTTAGTGACGTCCTTATATTTAAAATAAAAACATTGGATTCTACGCAATAAAGTCGACTTCATGACGGAAACATTTTTTTCACAAATCTGAATAAAAACAAAGATATACAATAACATGTTAGGAGTAAAAAAAAACTTAAGTCATAGTTGTCACGTCATTAATTGTCAACAAAAACAACACTATTGTTATATGAACAAACATGGAAAGTACATGCTATTTTTGGAATTTTAAGTAACTTCGAACATTATCGTTATTCACGTTGGTTATTAAATATTTTTTACATTATTTTCATTAAAGTCTCACACGCACATTTCATTTTAACAGCAAGTAAAATGTAATTAAAATAGAATATATTATGTATATACGCAACGGAATTATGTACTTGGAATTCACATATTCAAGAAATGTAGCAAAAGAATACCTATTAATTCACTTCGTATCAAAATAAGTTTAAATATACGAAAGCTTATTACGAAATTGATAATATACATTTGCAGTTACTGAATGTCATATTGGCTGTAACGTTATGGTAAATACCTGAACCATGTTAATAAATAATGATCAAAGTAGTTTTTCGCCATATAAAGGGTACCTATTCAGATAATATATAATGCCAAATTATCCTGTTCTAAAAGGCTTTTAAAATACAATGAGGAAAAATTGTCGCTTTAAGAATGTTTTGGTCAACGAGATGATGACAAAATAAACACCTATTTTTAACATTAGATAGGTATTTTAATTAAGTGCGCACGTCTGATTATGCTATTACCCTGAATGTACTAATTAACTTTATTCCTGAATCAGCCTTAAAATGACTAACCGGTAAATTTTTATTTACCTTCTGGTACATTAAAATCAATACCTTAACTACAGTCACCATTGGATGTATTTACCAGGTCCATTACTCTAAATAATTATGAGTGAAAATAAACTTCTTTCTATATTTGTCCATAAAAATTTTGATAATCAGAAACAACTAGCATACCATCAGATTCTTTTACAAAAGCCTACATACATACTAAACTTGTCTTCTCAGAAACTGTATACTGACGAATACAACACAGTCAGTTTCTTGACGAAAACATATGCTATCTTTGGATGTAAATTAAGAGTATGACACACGAAAACTATAAATAAATTATCATTAATTCTTTTATCAACCGCGATATTTTTAAAAAGATAAAATGGCGCCTTTGTTTTGTATACTAAAATAGTTTTGTGATTAATGTTATAACAGTAATGACTAATTCACTTAGACTTATCTACAATCCAACCTGCAGCTGCACAGATTATATCGTCATAATCGACAAAAAAAGTCTATACCTAGTATTCTTTGTATTGTCTATATATGAAGATAAGAAAACAAATATGTTTTTTTAAACATTAAAATGAAAAACTGCGACAGCGAAATGCCATTACAAAAATTTGTCGTAGTGGCTAGTTATTCCACATTAAACAAACCGCAGACAGATGACTTCAGATGTAATTCATTTCACTGAACGCAAATTTAATCAATTGATTCAAGAATGCCGAGTTACTTCGTGCCGCGTCAGAAGTCTTGGAGATAATTGTACATTGACGCAATTGACGCTTTAAGTGCAATAGTCATTTTAAAAATTTAAAGATCACAAGGTCCCTAAATTTCTTCCCGGACACATTGTTTTATTCTTTGTGTTGGAATAAAATGAACTTTATTGAAGTTATAAACGTATATCGTAATTTCTATCTGTTTAATTAAATAGGTACACAATTCCCTACAAATTCCGGCGAAAATGAATGCCGTCATGGAACTGAATATTTCCATATATCGTGTTTACATGCTAACAGAATTACCATGTAGGTTCATACAACACAACATTCAATTCAAATGGTAGCAAACTTAGCATATTTCCGCATTATTGTGATAATTATTGCGTTTGCTCATGAATACGCTTTGATTTTAGATCTAATAACTCGTTTTATTGCCGAATTTTTGGGTTAGAAATGTTTTCATAAACATTAATATAATGCACTTACTTAATAAAAATGCAAAAACTGTTATTTTTTGCATACAATGAGATTCATTGACATTTACTATGTGAAACTAAATATATATGGATATTTTTATTAATTTAAAATATTTTGTTGTTAAGGTGGATGTACTGGACTGACTGGGGTCAGGTACCTAAGATCGAGCGTGCTGGTATGGACGGCTCCCACAGACAGACGATCGTGTCATATGACGTCAAATGGCCTAATGGTCTCACACTGGATCTTGTCCGCAAACGTGTATATTGGGTAAGTTAAAAAAGACAAACTAAAAATGCTTCAAATAATGACCATTAGCTATCCGCGCTTCCTAATGTTTCTGGGAAATTTCCTTAACAACATAAACATGACACGCTTGTACAAGATCCGCCATAATATCCTAAATGGAAAGTGACTGTTCTTTGAAAAAATATCACTAATGGTTAAGGCAAACCAACACTCGTAAGAAAAATAAGTTGACATTGGTCTTAAATTGTTTACAAGCACGCAGCCAATTGACGGGTAGGTAGGTAATTGAATAGAGAATCAAATAATACCGAAGAATTGTCACTAAGTAGGTACCTAATAACATTTGAAACAATCATGGTTTTACCTGAACAATAGTTTTTATCTTAGGTAAACAGCCTAAATCACTTACTGGCATTACATGCGAAAATAATCAATTTAAGTAGAATCGATTATTGTGATTTTTATCAAATAAATAGATAGATAGCGATTATGATAATATGCCTATTATTGATCGTATGATTCATTCTATTTATATTTTGTAGATGACAATTTTTTTTCTTTTACTTTCTTTCTTATTATGTATGTATGTCTGTCTATATTCAATACTTGAGTGCTTTTGACTAATCCTTTCGATATTTACATGTCGAAGTACTTTGATATTATACAATTATAATATAACGCAAATATAATGATCATATTTGGTTAACGAACGTTTTTGTATTCAGGTGGACGCCAAGATGAACATGATTTCTTCGTGCAATTACGATGGTACCGGTCGCAGAGTGATCCTCTACTCTACAGATGTTTTACGTCACCCATTCTCGATAACCACCTTCGAGGATTGGGTCTACTGGACTGATTGGGACAAGGCTGCTGTCTATCGCGCAAACAAATTCAACGGAAAAGATATTGAGGCTATTACCCCTACACATAACGTAAGTTTAAATTAAACTTTATTACAAAACAATAAGATTGAAAACGTACTAAAGACAGATTGGAGTAGATTATAACCTGTATGTTGGTTCCAACCTAGAACCGTATAATTGCAACTTAACTTTTAATAATTCTTTCATTATCTTCTCTTGGATAACCTCCTTGACATCGAAATTAAATAATTATTACACGTAGGTATAACTCAGATATATTAAAAAGATATAAGGTAGGTACTACGTAAGGAAGGTTAACTCTTGACCCCGGTATTAATCTCTTTATTTCACGTAGACACGAGAGACTATAATACAAAACAATTTGAATCGGTAGTCTATATCAGTTGTTTATTTACGTTTACTTTTAAAACAAGTTTTCATATAAAGAGTTTGAACTCGGGTCAGTTCAGATATAAAACATTGACATGCACGATGAAGTGCTAATAAGAACTGTATAAGTTCGAATATACTTATTTAAATCCTTTGCTCCTCGCGTTTATCATGGTCATAAAAGGGTGTGGAAACCAAGTTCAACCAGCATATAGTTTCGTCTACTACCAATTTACATACTCACTATTATCAACAGCTCCAAAACCCCATGGTGATCCACGTGTACCACCCATACCGTCAGCCCGATGGTATAAACCATTGTGCGGCTGTCAATGGTCACTGCTCCCATCTTTGTCTCCCTGCACCGCGCATCACTGCCCACGCGCCACGGGTCTCCTGCGCATGCCCGAACGGACTAAGACTGCTGCCGGACAACCAGATGTGCGTCGAAGACAGTAAGTGGAATTTCTTTATTTTGATAATCGATACTTTCTTACAGAAGTATAACGCCATTCGACACTTGAGTTTCTTTTCGTATTTTCTTTTTTGTTTAAGTTTTATTATTTTATTTTTGGATCTAAACTCGACTTTTTTGCACTTATAAGAGTTACCACAATGTCTACACCAAAGAAGTTTTTGTTATAAAATGTTTAGATATAATTAATAAAAATAAAGTAAGGTACGTCTTTCAATTGACAAAAGAGAACAGCACAATGCTTCTGACATCATTTTCGGATGGTACTTAAAACGACACACATGCTGTAATCTAGAATTACTAAAATACTGATTCTTTCGACCGAAACAGTTAATTTCAAGAGGTTAATTGTTTCCCTGACCCTCCAGTTGTGTGGTAATCTTACTATTTACTTCGTACTTAATGATATATGTTTATTTTTTTTCAAAATGGCAATGAAAAGTTACCGTTAAGAGTTGTAAGAATAAACAGGTGACATAAAAAATACATATTTAATTACCATAAAAATTTTAATATTTTCGTGTACAACGTATGATTTTTTCTATGTACATAGGTAAACACTGTTTGTAAAACTTTAGTATCTATAAAACTGCCTACCAGTAACACAGTGGTTATTTTTAAAACTTCCTTGTTTATGTGTCAACGCATTTGTTTGTAATGTAATGCCAAAATTAGCTCGTTAGTCCGACACTTCTATTAAGTAACAGTGATAAATTAAAATGCATTATACCTACCAAGGCCTTACTAGACACAGTTTAAAATTTCGAACGACGACGAATTGGCATCAAATCAACTATTTAGATGCCTAGTTTAGTTTCAGTCTAGTCTGGTATCTATGCGAGAGCTTCTCTGAACATTACAAAAGTAAAATGTGTTTTTTACATTATAAATATTGACTGTAGAAAGTCTCTGGATCGATTCAATGTTTTGAAATAGTCGACAGAGAAGCCTTAATCCAACGAGATTTAGACCGGTTTTTAATTTGGCCATATTTGCCGTAATATTATGCTCACGTGGTAATACACGAGAGCATGCGATCAGTGTCTATCAACACAGTAGTGTTTGCAATTTTTCGCCTAAAGATTTAGCGTTTTTCTGCGCAATAATCCATAGACCTTAAGTAGGTACGTATATCTAAGAAGTTAGGTAATTTCCCATACGCAAAAGCACAGACTGTAAAATAATTAACTTATCTTACCTAATCTAGATTATTCTTATTGAATATTAATTTTATATGCGTCGCGGCGTGATTTCGGATAGTGAAGGTAAATAAATGATAACGCTATCTATTGTCCATTAAATGTTCATTCAATCATTATTAATTTGTTGACGTTTTTCACCAAACATTTGTGCTATTGACGTAAGAACGTGTTATTTACAAATCGAACCGGCGTAAACCGGTTTTTCTTGACATTTTTTTTGTAGATATTTGAATATTACCGTTAATATTATGTTTTCTTTTTTTTGTTTCGGATTTTCTTTAGAACATATTTACTGTACTTGTGTAAAACACGACTTTATTTACTTGATAGTGTTACTCTTACATGATCTTAATTACTTAATCCTTCATAAAAACAATATTTATGAGATTGCATTATATTTGACTAGAATTGAAAAGCATTAAGAATAGATTGGAACTGTGATTGGAACAGTCGAGTCCTATAAACCAAATTTCAAGTCAGAATGACGAAGCAAATTTTAACTAAGTAGGTAGGTTATAGTAATGTTATTTTGACGATTTAAAATACTGAAACGAAAATATCTAAATACAATGCATACTAGCAAGTGACCGCTGTTTTGATATAACTCAAAATGTATATAAATTGGAAAATTCTTATTATAATTGATTATATTATTATATGATTATAATTGGAAAGTTTTTATTGGTTGACAAACCGCATGCATTTACTTGCATTTATTGTTAATATAATATTAGTAAGACAAAACGAATAGAAAGGTCCGAAATAAATGCCTAAGTAAAGACAAGATTCTGAGCTAGTGTGCTATCATTTTCACAAAACATACAACAATATGTAAAAATTACAGTCTATTAATCTCTCAGATCTATTTGGCGATAAACGATAAAAACTAAGTAATTGATGGACAATCGGTATTAATTATTCAATATTCATAATTTCAATTAGCACGTGCAGATAAGCCAAATTAGTATAAACTTTAGGTATAGACTAATTATTTGATTTAATAAAAGCATTGTGTAAAATAAGGATAAAGTGTATTTTAAGATAACATTCATTTGTTTAAAAATTAATCTGCCTACGGGAAAACCTAACCAAGCTCGGGTTATAATTATAAATACTTACCAAAACAATATTTTATTTGAAGTATTAAATATTGGAAGCCTTAAAGTTTTATCTATATTTTGGCAACTACTACCTATATATAAAAATAAATCATTATTACTAGTTGATGGCTTTCCAATTACAACTATGTTTGAACGAATAAACAGTTAATAAATAAGTAGCTTTATTTTTAATAGAAATCTGTGAACAGGAAATGGCAAATATAATCTAATTATTTTCCTGAACTATATTGATCTTAAAATTACCTTATAAATATATTGTTTAACTAAATTACAGTACAAATTGTTAGGACAGATTTTTCAATAGTCAGATAAATGTTATCTGAGGAATAAAATTGTTGCTGTCACTGTCTTATACAAACATTCTGACGCGACAGCATCATAATTATTCCCCAGATATTTTTTGTCTAACTATTGAAATATGATCATGAATTGGGTAAAACCATGCAGTTTGTCTGGCATAGTAAACGTTGTCTGATATGTAGGTAAACCAAGACATTTTTATTTTATTCGCAGAGAAGCAAAGGTCCTATCATAGACAATAAACCTTATTCTTAATAGCCATTTAATATGTAATTGGCAGTAAAACTTTTTAATTATTTATCCGCAAATTTTCCGGCTATCGTGGAAAAAAGAACTCATTCCCGTCTTGCACTTGTACGATTGATAGATTGGCGGAAGATTACTACACGCAGATAAACGCAGATATGATACATTGTACGGTCTGCATCAATCTAGATAAGTACCGTTACTCAACAAACTGATTTCGGCTTTCTAGGCCAGTAAATGTTTCTTTAGATCAGACCATACTTTTACGTAGATAATACTTTTATTAAATTAATAATTGAAGATTCCACGCTTATAAAAGTAACTTAAGATCATCTATTTATGTTCGTCGATTGAACACGTTTGTCCGTTGATTAAAGTACAATTGAATGGGTCAATAAAAAGCACATTTAGTACGATTGGTAACGTTTAGTAATGATTGATTGTACCGACTCCATCAATAAAGATGCCACCAAGTACTTGTTACGAAGCATTTTTAAACGAGGAAGCATTTTACAAGTACCTATTTGGTTCCACTCATAAATTACTCCGCCTTATATGTACCTTCATGTTTTATTTTAATTTCGGTGTCCAAGCAATTTATACTCGTAAAGATCAAGGTAAAGAATATTAAAACAATACCTACTAGCTTTGTATGTAGTTTCAGTCATGTAAAAGAGAAAGATTAACAATAACTTTCTTATAACATTTAAGAGTCATCAAAGTTTTAGTCACAGTACCATACCGTTGCGTCAGATCGCGTGATATTCGAGGAAAAACAATTGAGACCCGTAGAACGGTCCTTGTGACGATCATTTTCGTAATAACATTGCAGAGACAAGGCCGCTAGAGCATTGATGTGAATTTTAAAAATACTCCGCCGAATCTACGGAGCGCCGGACACGTAATGCGCCACGTCATTCAATGACGACACATCGTACGATATTTTTTATCAGAGCGGCATGTTTTAGTGTGACTGATCAGTTACAAGGAATAACCATATTTTGGTCGGAATATACCACGCCTACGCATTATCTCATAGCGTATATCAATATTGTTTTAATCGTTACAATTCTTACTCATAATTGTTTATAAGCACATCGTTATCTTGAGAAATACTTTACGTGTAATATGTATTTACCGATTTGTAATATGTATTTACCTACATAAATCACGTAACAGAAATATTGAATCAATCGATAATTTTAGTCCGATTATAGGATTATTTATTTTTAAAATAGGTATATTGACGACTCTTTCTATTTGATTTTATTTTTTTGCAGACAGACAAGGTCGCTATGTCAGAAATGTGTTCATTTATTAAATTACTTAGCGCGATAAGCTTAGGTAATGTTAGAGGGAAAAATAGTAACAAAGTTTTTTTGCTTGGTTAATCGCGAAATGTGTATGAATGAGTCATTACTATGATTTTATAAACTTGTCAGTGTGTGACCTCACACCTGAGTGCGTGTGCACCAAATAGACCGTCCTACCTAATAAATGTACTCGAGTTCATGTGGAAACCGAACGCCCAATAGTCTAACAGCTGGCGAATAAGGCGACGTGACGTCATGGCATCACGCCACCTTTTGTTCAGTGGTTCTACCTGCGATCCGGCACGCCGCATGCGCATGCTAGCAACGATGTTACATGTTACCTCACACTGGGTTGCTTATTTAGAAATGTATTTATTCTTGAAAGTATAATCAAGTCGAAATGTATTTATGAATGTGTATGACATGTATGCTGTGAATGGAAATATTTATAATATTTTTTAAGCCCTTAGTACCCAGTTAGTTGTGTCGTTACCAGAAAATTTCGCGAAGTATAATTTTAAAAAATATTTGCAAAGCAATAATGAACTGAAAAACACTGAAAATAAGATAATATAACAAGCAATTTTGTAAGATAAAATGCAATGACAATTTACCTGTGCATGGATTGCAAGTGCGAGCCAGATCGCGCTCAGTTAAATTGACAGAAGTGCTGTGTGGTGGAACGTCAATGGCGGTTACACGCGACCGGTTTTCGGCCTGTCACTCATTCCGTTTCGGAAGCCCGTACGTGTCGCGTGTGCCGTGCTTATTTATGTGAAATAGTTTCGCTGTGTGAATATACAGTATACAATACCCACTTACCGAAAACCAAAACAAAACTATTGTTAAACAAGAGGAATATTTAAGTTATTATTCATAAAATCTACAGATGCAATAAAACCAGATGTGGAGGTGCATAATAAACCAACCATTGGTTCAAATGAAACCATAGTTATCGAGGAAAAACCTGTAACCAGTGAGTATTTTGAAGAACTACATTCAATTAAAAATTCAACCAGTTCACTACCTTGATCTGTCTCTCATAAGTTTGTTAATTAATCAGATTCGTGACGTTTGGAATACCTACAACTGTTTTAATCAGACCCATCACAATGAAAGTGAATGTGAAATATACCTAACCTTGCTTTTAGAACTTAGCAGTGAAATAATATATCCACAATTTTAGTTTATTTTTGTCGATCAAACGCCACGATTTTGATTAAAGATTGCTTCATGGTTGGGTTGAATCATTTAATCACATCGTTTGATAAGATAAAATATCGCCATATATACATAAGGTGATGGGTAACGAGCACTACTAATAATCATTAGGCCATCAACTAACAACAGTTCATTGTGAATGATCAATCAATATCTGTGTGTCTTCAATTTGGGATTCCTTGACTGATTTGCAGGGCATGACAATCTGCTAGTAGTCAAACAGATGTATTACTATTTTGAATGCGAGTGATAATTGGGAAAGTTTGACACTTATGGTGAATTACAAAAGAGAAGGGCTTGGCCTTCTCTTGAAGCTTGGACGTGGCCTCCTGAAAAGCGAAGATACAACCGAAGCACCCGAGGAAACCGAGGAACCGACTACCGGAACAGTGGAACCTGAAACTGAGCCAATGAAGGCCTATTGGGAAACTGACAAACGAGATCTGGGAAAAAGGAATCAGCCATTTATAGATCTGTTTTTAAAAGGAGACGCCTTGGACAGGATACCAGACGTCACCGAAGAGCCCGTCAAAGAATCTCATTATAATTTTGAAAAAATCACTTTGATACATTTACCAGACGCCCTGAAACACTTAAATATTGAGGGTAACGTATTATAAACTTTATTTCATTTTGTGCTAAAGTCGGAAACACCGCATTAAGTTTACGGGAAGACACACAGATTCATTATGAGCTGGGTGCATGTCGCATTATTTCCGTTTGTAATAAATTATCTTACTAACCAACTTGTTTGCAACTAACCATTTTATTCTAGACAATTCGATAACAATAGCCTTTAAATGGAAGAATATTTTTAAATTTGATTTAAATAAAAGCAATTTCTTTAACTTGTATGATTACAATAGCTAATTAGATCTGAATGTCATTGGTATTGTTGCGATATTTTAAACTACATCGAGTTACTCGGCATAAAGATGAATCGATTGTACCAGGTTTCAGGGTTTTGTTATGGTAATAGCAAACAACATTCATCCTGTCCTGCTATATTTGATACAATAGTTGACTATAACATTAGTCATAATGTTAAAAGATACAACATATGTTATGTGAAAGTAGGTTACGATATTTTAGTTAAGTAGTATATTAGTTGGCACGTTTCATTGACACTAGCTGTAAATAGAATGTCTAGTGCAATCGGGTTAGGCACCCACACAAATATAAAGTTAAATTGACAATTAGATGTAAGAAAATTGAACAAACACCACCGCTCTGTGTATTGAACATGTCTATTGTGTATATACGTCAGTGTATAGTTCAATTGTCGTCATTCTTCTTCAAATGTTTCTTATTAATTTGTTGACGATGAACTTGTCGATGGGGACGGATGTCCAATATTGTGTTAACTTACATGATCTACCAGGAAACACGGTCTTGTGTATTTTTTTTCTCCAATGAATTTAAATAGGTTATTTTTATTAATTTACATCTTTACGTTGTTTTAACAAATTTTCGGTTCCTTTCATTTCTCACTTGTTTGTTGTTTTTCATTTGTTTTTATGTTGCTTTCAGTTTTAACATTCGCAAACCACCTCTTCTTGCTTTTCGGTGAAGGTACAGTTCAGTTTAAAACCAATGCAACAGTGCAATTAATTTTAAATTCGTATTAACGTTTACGTTAAGCACTTTATATAAAAGTATTTGCAATTTATGGTTAATTTACAATTTAATTAATTTGTGACTTAGCTTTCTCTTTTACTGCCTTGCATTTTAATGAACACGTTGCATCGGTTTAAGGAACTCGAAAACGTGTCATTTAACATTGTATTAATTGTATTGTTTTTAATTCTAGGTGTCCCTGAAACACCAAAGACTGGAACAGGAATCTCAAGCAGCGGCCGCGATGCCGGCATGGTCGCAGGAGTCGTAGTAGCAGTAATCTCTGGAATCATTATATTGGGAGCACTGGTAAGCAACTAGTAGTACCCAGAACTTTCTAGAAACCCTTTCAAAGCAGTTATTGTATGAAGCTATAAAAGAATAGATACGCTAGTAAAATAGGACACCGGTACCGTTAGAATGAGTTTTTTTATGAGACACTGGCGTTTTATTGAAACGATACTCCGAATTGCTGAGTATTAATTATTCAATATTTACTATTCTTAAAGTAGATCAGATGTCTATCAAACAGAGATATACAATACTACTCATGTTGCCACCCAAGCCAGTACTATGAATTTAGTAGAATCTGCAAGTTATGTAAATTTGCTCACAGTTCGCAGAATCACGTGTCGTTAGTTTCTTTATCTCAAACATTCCAATACGTACGATAGTTTTATTAAGTATAGGAATTAATTGCTGAGTTCAGATTTATGTATGTTTAATAAAAACAAATAATGAATGACAGCGCGGTAAGATTCACCGAACTCGGCTCTTGGGTGGTTATCAGAATCGAAGATCGTCATTCCAAAACAATGATTTTTATTTTCTGGTAGCTGCAGTTTAAAACAGATAAAGCTCGGATATTAAGCATAATATAAAAATAATCGACAAATAAGTAATGAGTTAAAGAAAATATAAACCAAAAACATTTACTTATGTTCTTTACGATTAGTTTAGGATGTTTAAAGTATATAAGCGGAAGTATCAAAAATACCGTGACTAAAATTACATACACGAGGAAAATATTAATCGAACATTAAACTTATCTGGGAGTTGTGTCGCAGGTGTTATGTAGATCCGATTATAATTAACATACGTAGGTACGCACTGATTTGACTGATACGCGGAAACACGCACAGGCATACTCCTAGGTAAATAGCAGCGTCAAGCCGTCATGTCGTGACGAAGAGGAAATTTCTTGGTGACACTAATAAATAAATTGCTTCGTTAATGTCTTAAATTGCATTTCAGTTAGGAACCACTAATAGCCACCAATTGGTTTTATTTCTTTGATGATGTAACTTTTTCGACCTCGAATCTAGCCCAGATGTATCGTGTCTAGTAAAAATCACCTTGTAAAATTAATGATAACTACTCTTTTCAGATCGCAGTGGTTATGTACAGACATTTCGTGCACCGTAATGTTACATCTATGAACTTCGACAACCCGGTGTACCGCAAGACCACAGAGGACCAATTTGCGCTGGAGAAGAATGGATACGCACCGGGCAGCAAGCTGTACCCCAGTACCGTGGGCGAAGAGGTGAGAGCACTCACAGCTATGGAGTGTACGCTTAACATACAAAACAGTCTAAGATAAGTCGCACAAGGACGCGTTGCCCTCCGCCAAGCCAATTAACGAGTTCGTGTCTCGTAGCACAACTCAATACTTTTTCTCATATATTTTTATTGTAAACTAAGAACATTATTTTAAAAACATCAATCCCGACTTGTTGTGTACAATGAATTATATTATACCCCGTGTAACTTGGCCAAAATGATAAAATTGTTGTAAATATCAATGAAAACTAGCATTATTTTATTATAGTAAAGATTATTATAAGGTCTGCCTAAGACATTTTAAACTTGATGTATTTAGAGTTATTATATTTACTAGAGATTGTTTTAAGGATTTATAGGAAATATTTTCGTTTAGATTTAAAGATTGTGGCAATTTATAATGTGCCAACATTTTTACCGCGTCAGTATTAATTAATAGTTGCCAAATTATTGGCTCTAAGTGGTAGGTGTAAAATGCTGTAAATAGTCCCTTTTAAATAGCAAATATGATTTTTGTAATCTGCCTAATGCTTAACATAGACTTTACTAATAATGTTTTACTGCCGAAATATTTATTTTTCATGCGTTAACATGCGAGGGCATTATGATGGTAAGTTTTAGTAGATTGAACCTAGGCGTTGATGTTAGATAAATGTATGTCAGAGTGCGATTTAGTTGCATTTCGTTGGTGCTTAGATGTTTAGCTGAACGAGTTCTTGATTCAATGAGACTAATGATTTTTTTCTCTTTTCCAGGCCCAAGAACCTCTCAACACACCGGGTACAAATGACTTTGTATAGTGTACAAGCTGGAAGTAAATACAGTATATTATCATTGAATGTGAAAAGAAAGAGAAGGACATGTGATACTTAAAATAGTGTTATCCAGTGAATGGGACTTAAGCTAACATTTTTGTAGTAAACTCTAAAAATAGTTAGCGTTAGTGCAGTGAAGTGAAGCTTATTGGAACAAAGTTCTGTTTGCTGTTACGCCTCGCGCCGAGATGGATCTCAAAATTACGATTATTTCATCGGCTGTCATATCACAACACTCAGTTAATTTTACACAGATGCAGGGAACGGCGGGTTTAAGAAAGGAAGCGGGGCATTTTTATTACGTTAATTGTAAAAATGTGAAGCTATTATGGTTGCAAATCTAAATTTGTTGGACGATTTGCATCTTTGGATAATATTAATATTGTTGCGTTGACCGAACGTGTGTATACGTTCGAGTTACGCAGGGCCGTTGAGCAATGCTTTCTGCCCTTTTCTATATCTGTGTTCTGTACGTGAAAGAGATCTTGGTATTGCTTTTTGTACTATTTGTATCACATTATTAGATGTTAGAAGGGACATGTTTGCTCTAATTTTCTCTTTACACTGTGAATAGTATAAACATTCTAAATATTGCTTTATCGAATGCCAGGTGCATTGTAATTATTTATATAGAATTTACAATTTTTTATTCCACTTTAGTTGATAATTTTAATATTATACACGTTTACAGCAATCCTAAAACTCTTAGACTTCCGCATTCAGAGAGAATGAAAAGCTCATGTTTCATAATGAAATGTACTTAGTTAGTAATTTCTCATGATTTCCTAAATATTTTAAAAATTGAACTGATTCTGCATATTTGAATATGAACGTCCGGGTATTTCACTTGGACTTGATTTTCTAATAAATCTTCGATTTATTTATTTCTATAACACACTAGGAAATGTAGGCTAATAATGAGAGCAGTATAATGTGCCAATTTTAGTAAAAATTTACAATTTTGTCGCCAAATTATATTGTACAATACTTGAAAGTAGATGAATTCTCAAACACTATATTTGTTGCGTCTGTAATTTATTTGTACTATATGAAATTGTTATTAGCATAGTACAGTTTTAATATGAATTTTATATTTTATGTACCAGTTGAGTTTTACCATCGAATATTTTTATGTATTTATATATTTAATAGCAATGAACGCATAGTATTTGGAATGTGACTTTGTCAAGCAAAATCCTGCCAAATTCTTTGAATATAAATGATTACTCTATTTGTAATGTAATTGAATTACATTAAATACATACTTGATGCACATTTCATACAATATGCCTAGCTCAATAAGTGTGGTCACTAAAATAAATTATTGTGTAAATATTGTCAGTAAAATATATGTAAAAGGTGTTAATATTATGTCTTTTATTTCATTTTGAATACAGTACTTAAATAAAGGAAAATAAAGCCAAAACCTATTGACCTCTTTTGACCAAAAGATGACAAGCACTTTTCGTAGTCTAGAACTGTGCAATAATATTATTTGTCAGTCAATTAAAATCACTATTTAACGGCCATATTCGCTGAATTTTAATATCAAGAGATGAAAACAAAAATAATTAGTGCATGTCTTCATTTTACTGCGAATTCGATTTTCGCAGCTAATATAATTTTCTTTATTCCCAAATGGTTAATACAGACAGACAAGGCAAGACGTGTACAATCTATATTTGTAAATAAAGCAACGACATCAAAACTTTTTTGAAGATAGCAGTTTCAAAACAAAACAAAATCTTCAGTCAACAAAGTCTTACCTAACTGAAACAAGTTTGTATATGCGGTTGATAATAGAAGAAATAAAATAATAATTAATATTTTATTGTACTATTAAAATACAAGCTACAAAAGGTAAACAGGCGGAAAATATATAACATGAATATTTATATATATTATTAAAATCACACGATGTCTGTTGCAGGGTAAGAAATCATGATCTGCATGTCTGACATACCTACCCTTATGCGTAAAATATATGAAGGTAATCCAGTCACATATGACCTTGCTATGTCCAATGGTCCCATGTTAATGAGATGTCAAGATATATTGGTAATCAGTTCCTTGTACAACCATAATTTTTCACCCTGCTTAATATTACAAGGAGGTCTCATATCTTATAAATATATTAATAAATTACATAAGTTACTAATGCTAGGTACAGCCACACTGTTTGTATAACATTATATGCGAAATTAAAAAAAAACATATCATAATTAATCCTACTCCTATCGGATGGTTTAGGCAGAGGACAAACTTGGAGTTTTGTTATTAATTCTAATAGGTAATGGTTAAGTTTAGTGCCATAATGCAGATTATCTAATATAATTTAAGAATTCAATTTTCTTCGATAACCAATTTTCAACCGATAGTTGTAAGCAAATAGTTCCTGGTCAGGGTCAGTCGCATTTACGACGAATTACGCTTAAAAGTTATTAAGCTAAATTAAAATAATTATTATGAACATTACTTAAATTATAATAAAGTGTAAAATTGTCTAAACGGCAATATCGCATCAAAACACCCTGATCTCGATACATTCGATAATTAGAATTAAAATAACTAAAAAACGTAAAACACAAACAAGCCAAAAACGGCAATAAGTAAACAGGCTAAACGGTGTCAAAAACGAAATAATCAAGCAACAATGAACCTTAAGAACACGAAAAATGATTCGTATAAAATTGAAATAAACATACATATTTTAAGTACCTAATTCTTGGGAACATTAACTATAGAAGTAGACAATGTTTACTTTAAATAAACAAAATGGTAGCGTTGTGAATACATTGTACTATAAGTTTAGTATATACTTCAACAGGTACATTTGCAACCGATTTGTCATTTACTATCATCGTTCGTATCAATTATATATCTTTTGCAATCAGTATCTGAAGGCTAGATAAACATAATGCAATATATCTTATGAATACACAAGTTCCGTATTACTATCGAGGTATAATCACTTATGGAGGACTTCCGTGAGGCGAAAAACGTTTAAATAATAAAGAAAACAACGCAAAAAAACTCCTAGGACAAAGATGTACAAACAGCACCATTGTAGAACAAAATAACAATTACCAAAATCAACGAAGAGCAATCAAGGAAAAACTCGTTAGTTTTTTTTGTTAACCGAAACAGGAAAATGACATTGTAAAGCCAACATCTTAATAATTCTGTTAGTTTTTGGTTCTTAATCACATTTTAAATTTAAATTAAATAACTAACAACTTAAATCACAACTTGAAATTCGTATAACGCACTGTCGACTTATTTGCTAACTAGGGTTACCAGTTACACTACATTATTATTCAAATAATAACAACAATTACCATATTAGATAGGGATGTTGCAACAGTAAGAAAAACCTTTTACAAACACTGTTCTTTGTAAATTTCGTTAATTTTAGTATGGAACGGTTGAAAACATTTTTAACAATTCCAACATCTCTTATTGAGTAACATTTACGTCATTAAAACAAAAGTAGAAAATTCCAAATTTTTAGCTTTTAAAAATGATCAAACAAATAAATAGTATAAATAATTAAAATGTTACTCATGTAAAAACAGAATTTAAAATTTCAATTAAATTACTTAGTATTATTTTAATCATCGCATAATCATATTCGCGAACCATTAAACATACACGGGTGTGTAATTACACTGGGTAAACGAGGTACTACGTAGAATGTTCTAGAACTAATTCTAATTTATTCTACTGTTCTAAACATTATGCTAATATACAATACCATTAACTACTGGACTAGTAATCTCATCGTCACTCACGCGCAATCTTTTCTTAATGTTCGTAGTTCCGTTCATTTTTATGTCACTTTCTTTGAGGTCGGTGAAACCATTGGTTGCTTGAGGTAGTTTGTAGGATTCGTATTGTTTGGTGATATGAGTTTTGTATATCTGGAATGTGTTCGCTGCGATGTGCTGCCGGGCGTGGACAAACATCTGATCGAAGTGGTGGAGGTTGTGGCTGGAAGATAATAGTTTGTATGTTAAGTAAGTATTACAGAATAATCACAAGAATCTATTAAATATTATGCAGATATGAGAGAAATAGTTTACAAAAGCATTGAAATTGGATTATATGATTTTGACGTATTGGTAAGGCGAGTGTTCCTTAAATGCGACTTTCAAATTTTATACTACAATTGGGTAACATATTAGGTTTTTTAATACCAAAATATTCTATGTTACAAACTAAGATTAGAACTTAGGAATATATCAGGAGATAAATATATTGAACTATGAAAACCTCTTCAGCAGTTCTATAAGTCAAACAAATCATGGTACTGTACCCGCCATATTTGAGATTTGTAGAATCATACAAAACCAAAAGGAGACAGTCTCAAAGCGGATGTAGAAATTGCAACTGCTTTTGAAAATTTCTTTTCCGACATTCCTGTATCCACTACTAAGTCACTGAATTCATCTCCCACTGTTGCAGAGTCTTTACTCAAAAAACATGTTGTAGCTTGCGATTCAGGGTTTTCCTTCGAGCACATAGATAACAAGGAAATTGTTAAAATCTTTAATACTTTGAATAACAAAAAGACTGCAGATCTATGGGGCAATTCTGTGTATATTACAAGCTCTGTAATAACTATTGTAGCACCTGTATTAGCTCAAATCTTTAATAACTGTATTGACTGTGGTGTGTTTCCTGATCTTATGAAATGTAGTAAAATAATTCCATTATTTAAATCAGGTAGTACTTCTGACCCCACTAACTTTAGACCTATTTCAGTGCTACCTACGTTCAGTAAAATTTTTGAAAAAATTATTTTAGATCAAATGCAAAGATTTTTTAATAGAAATAAATTATTACATGCAAAACAGTTCGGATTTACAAGGGGTCGTTCAACAACTGATGCCGGTGTTGAACTTCTTAATCACATTTACGACGCGTGGGAGGACTCAAGCGACGCTTTGGGAATATTTTGTGATTTATCCAAGGCGTTCGATTGTGTGCTTCATGATACACTGATCAGGAAGCTATCCCATTACGGAATAAGAGGTGCATCTCTGGACCTTCTTACCTCATACCTGAGTAATAGGGTTCAGAGAGTTGAAGTAAACGGAGTGGTTTCTGCCGGGTCTGTTGTGAAGATGGGTGTTCCGCAGGGTTCTATTCTCGGCCCGTTTTTATTTCTTATCTATATTAATGACTTGCCTTACCTTGTAAGGGATAAACACGAGATAGTGCTGTTTGCTGATGATACCTCACTATTATTCAAACTCAGACGACGACAATTAGTTATTGACAATGTAAACAGTGCTCTCTCAGAAATAGTTCACTGGTTTGGTGTTAATAACTTATTACTAAACGAAACTAAAACTAAATGTATTAAATTCACAACACCAAATGTTAAACAGGTAAAAACCAGTGTGCTTGTCAAGGGCGAGGAGTTGAGTCCTGTAGATACAACTGTCTTTTTAGGTATAACCCTGGACGCTAAGCTCCAGTGGGGCCCTCATATAGATGGCTTGTCGAAGAAGCTCAGTTCTGCAGCATATGCCGTTAAAAAAATTAGAAATTTAACAGATGTAGATACAGCGCGGTTAGTTTATTTTAGTTATTTCCACAGCATCATGTCATACGGTATTTTGTTGTGGGGGAATGCTGCTGACATTCAGTCTATTTTTGTTCTGCAGAAAAGGGCTATTCGATCAATCTATAATCTTAGTCCGAGGCATTCGCTCAGAGAATTATTTAAGGAAACTAAGATAATGACGGTTGCCTCACAATATATTTATGAAAATGTAATTCACGCTCATAAAAACAAAAGCTTATTTAAGAAGCATAGTGATATACATAATATTAACACGAGGGGGAAAAACAAATATGTTGTCCCTGCCTCCAGGCTTCAGAAAATAACTAGTTCGTTTAGATGTCAATGTATACGCTTTTACAATAAAATTCCTAGCGATATTCAAAATTTGAGCCTCAATAAATTTAAAAGTGTAATAAAGGCTAAACTTTGCTGTAAAGCATTTTATAAAATAAAAGACTACTTAGAGGATAGTCAGGCATGGGAATGAGCCGCTGTAATGTCTGCACAGGTCATGTTGACATGTTTGTAACATAAGTTACAATTTTATATACAATTTGACATTACGTTTATTTTTTATTTTTTATACAATGACATAATCACCTATTGTGACATTTTATTTTTTATTTGACATTTTTTTTTTATTTATTTATTGACATTTTTATTATTTTATATTATTGTTAGTGTAAGGACCGTGTGAGACTTGCCGTGCTTTTTGATTACCAGTTATCTGCGTTCTGACAGTTTGAGTACTTGCGCGACCCACCCAAATGTTCTTTAGATCGGTATTGTTCGTCGGACAACTCAGCAGCACTAGCTATACTGGTTGCAAACTGACACTTGCGTGCCTGTCTTCAGAACGGGTCCACTTAAACTGGTGTGGTTCTTTCCTCAAAAGACCACTACAGAATGAACTTGCACGATTCTCTCACATTATGTTATTTTTACATTGTCTGGACTTGAAAAGAGACTGACCTCTGAGTTTGTTTCGGCATTTCTTCTCAGAGTAGTCAGATAGGAAATGCCGGCTTCATCTAGTTTTTCACATATAAATTGACGTGTAAAAGTGCCGTTTTATGGCCTATTTGCAAAAATAAATTCATTGTTTCATTGTTTCATTGTTTCATTGTTTCAAACTCTTACTGGCTAAAAACCACCACTACTCCAAGTCAGGCCGCGGTCCATTGGACTTGGTTTATAAATATTGTTTAACTACGGCCTATCAACAATGCAAGTAAGCAGATATCTATAACCAAAAATAAAATAAAAATTATACTGATGAGATACTTACATACTTAATAAAACAGAAGAGAGCATCTCCCTTGTGTTCAACAAATGGCGGATATACGCTCTAGTGTGTTTCTTACAAGTTAAACATTCACACCCTTCTAATATGGGAGTAAAATCTTCCTTATATCTGAAATCAAATTGAATTACTGGCTAGACATTTCTATGATAGTAAGTACACAAGTTGAGTGCAATGAAGATATAGGAGAGCTCACTGCGGTGTCAAATATTTGTAGTGTGACTTTCACTAGTGACTTAAATTATTTTATGCTGCTTGTTTCACTTCAAAATCTATTACACAAATGCGTGCTGTTTGCCACTCACAAACAGTTTCAGTGAGTACATCATCCGACAGTAGCAAAAACCACAATCAGCGGCGGGACTTAATCTAATGATTAATTGGTCTATGGTAATGAACTTCCTACAACTGAGCATTGTATTAAGAAGACCTCACAAGTTGTACAGTGTGTTAAAGAGGCGACAGAAGACCTTATGCCTCCCTAACGCCATCTCCTTGGCACAAAATCAAACACCATTAATAATAACTCTTTGACGGAAGGACAGCGAAAACATACATGTAAAGCGACAGTTATTATTTATCAATGTAAAGAATAAAATTGCAATAAATCACATTCATAGATTTGAAGTCCTAAACATTTTATAGCAATTAATTTGAAGTATAAGGTTTTTTGTTTAACCATGTTTAAATCAAATAAACTTGTCATTTAAGTAGTCATATCTTAATACAGAACTGTAAGTTACAAGCTCATGCTTATTCAGTAACATACAAAACATCGTAGATAAATGCCAAATTACGCAAAAAAAAATCAAATCAGTTGACAAAAAAAGCTTAATGGTATAACGTTTATATTTATTACAAAAAAGGTCCGTTGTCTAACTCCAATGATGATGCAATATTTTTTTTAATTTCATGGCTGCCTTATCAAAATCATCCGACATTCGATGCGGATACTTGGTATCATTTATCAAAATTAACTCGTAGTTAGTTTATCATATCATAATAATCATTAAAATCGGAAGATGTTTGGAACATTGAACTGATTATGATTTAAGTTAAAAGATATCACGCCACTGCGGGTAAAAATATCTGCAGAATGTGCGTCTAATCTTGCATGCATGTTCTTTGATAAGAGGTAAGTTTGGGGTAAATAGTTTGGTGACGATTGGATTTTTAAGCCTTTAACTGCCAACAAAAAGCTAAGTATTTTATATACTAAGGCTTAAAAAAGTACAAAATACAAGGAAGTAAGTCTATAGCTGCCTCCTCCTATGCTCAAACTATACTCGGAATTTTAATTCCATTCCAGATTTGACAATTTCAGTGTTGCAACGTTATGACACGTAATAAATAGTGACGTTGCGAAATTATTCGATGTGGAAATCGAATATTTCTGAATCGATCCCTATCGTTTATAAATTTTCTCTCGTAAACTAAGTTTATCACGGAATAGAATATTTCTGAACCGATAATTTAGTTTTGACAATTAATTAACGATCTTTTCTTTTGTAATTGTGTGTGAAATTAATAAAAAATGTGATCATAAAGGAACATGACAAATAAAACAGATTTTTTATAAATTGTCGCCGTCATCGCTATCGCTATCGCTGTTACTTTCTGTAACATTTATTATGAATTGTGTCTGTGATTTTATTGTCCATTAACATATCTAGCTTACTCATTTTTTCCTCTTCTTTGACAACATGGGATACGCATTTAGACCATACGGTAGCCGTAATTTTATGAATGCCTTCCTGAAACTGATTCACTGATTGTTTATCGATTTTTGTGTTCATCACTACACTGTTATATGTGGTATCATTATTTCACAAAATGACAATAGGTCATGTCAAATCAGGAATCGAATTAAAATTCTGACTATAGTATTTTGTGACCCACGTTAATATAAAACACGTGAAACACGTGTCTTGTTCGGTGAACTTAAACAATTGAAGTCAAGGCTATGAGAGCGCTAAGCAACTGCAATTTTAACCTCTGGAACTTATTTATTTTTTATAACAACACGCATTAGTCATTAAGGCCGTGAATAATCATTATGGAATTCCATCAAAATTTGCAAAGCTTTTTTTCAATTTTGCAATTTGCTTTCGGCAAAGGCAGAACAAGTTTCTAAAAATAAGACGTTTGAAGTATAACCAGTTCAAAGTCCAAAAAGAACTTGAATAAAAGGCAAAATGGCATATAACCTTCGTCCGCGTGGCGATCAAAATTCGCACTTTGGCCTGAGGCAGTTACAGAACAGGTTTGTAACTTTAATTCCAAATATTTATGCACACTTTTTAACCGAAAAAAATGTTCAGTCATGATGAACATACATTGAGAAAATTGAACATTTACTTCAATAAAAAAAGAGGAAAAAATGAAGGGATTGGAACAGTTTGCCGGCTGCAGTCTTTCCGTCTAAATATAATTTAGGTGTCTTCAAGGCTAGAGTGAATAGGCTCTTAATAAGTAATAAGTGCGCCTTAATTACCATCAACGATTGCAGCGCTGCTTACCATCAGGTGGGATCGCAGTCAAGCACTAGTTTATAGCAAATTAAAATAAAAAAAATAAATAAATAAAAACAGTTGATTATGATGTGAATGAGTTGGATCATGTAGTTCAAACATACCTTACGTCATTCAGATCTAAGATCCATGGTTCGGCGCTATATCGATTTATGTCGAAGTTTAGCGTCAATGCATGACCCGCATTGCTCAATTTCGTGGGGTAGGACCCGTCGAACAGATCCCATCCTTGTTCTATCGCTGCTACTATAACTGCTGGATTCCAACAGCCTTCTATTACTCGTAATAAGTCTTTTGGTAATTTATCCTGGAATTAATAAAAAGTTAAATTATTAATTTTGTGAATTCATTTCTTAATTTTATTAATGTATAACCATTAAAGATGTTTTCATCATATGCACGTGTCATACAAAACAATCCATTTCATTGCATCGAGTGTTAGATTCTCATCAAAGTAGTACTTTTGGAACTGCTAACGCCATCTAGTAGCCGACAAGTAAACAAATAGAAGTAAGCGATGGTCTTTTTTTTTAAAAACTTGGCAACTGTATTTCAACAAGCACGATTTACAATAAGTAGGGAGTAATTTCCAACATGGTTTTAATTTCTAGATCTATGCACCACGGGATGATAGTAGTATTAATACATTATTACAAAAAAAAACCAGTACCTTAGTAGGTTACCTACATCGAGCTACGGAAGTTTACGAGCTGATAAAAGTGCTTTAACATGTACAGTACACTCTTATCTGTTAATCTATCAATATTATGTTCATGCAATTTCAAAGTATAATATGACGGCACCTATATGCGAAACTAATCGTAAAACGCAGGCGTCAAGCGTTCGAAATTCAAATATTTGTTTTGTAATACGTTACGTACGGTAATGTTCACACTTCAAGGGGAAAAAATGACGGATAAGGCTTACGTAATCTATGTTAACCGTGCGTTTACAATAATTTTCTTACGTATGTATTAGTGAGTTTTTAAAAAAAATGCGTCGTAGTATTTATGAAATGATGGATTGTTTATGGAATAGTTTGAGTAACGGAATTTCTGTATCTTGTCCAAGGTTTCTTTATACATGTGAATGTTTACTTTTAAAGTGTATTATTCCAGTAATGCTATTAAATAATTACCTACCTATAATAGTTATTTACATACCTGTAGCTCAACAACAAATGTGTATAATTAAATCTATGCAAGTCAGCAATGAAACCTATGGTAGGTTTGACATAGAGGCGTCTGTGTCTATGTCATTAGGTAAAAGAACTTTGCTTCATTTTCCTTTTTTAAATAAATTTTGCTATATGCTAGGCTTATGCCCAGTTTCTGAAAGCCCGATCAATGTTAAAATCAACTAACTAGGTGTCAAATCTCTTGTCAAATCATGGTTGTTGATAATTCAGTCAACCAATCAGATGACTTGACAAGAGATTAAATTGATTTTAACATTGATCGGCCTTTCGGAAACCGTTTGTTATTCTCCTGTGTCTTGGTTTCGTTTACGAACATACACATCACATCCAAGCCCAGAACAACTGAGTAATACAGCATGGAATTGTTGATAGTAAAGCAGATAAAATTAACCAATTGGATTATTGCATGCACAGATGATAAACAACTTATTATATCTAGCAAAGAAGTAATATAAAAGTTGACTAATCGAGAACACGACTAATGAAATTAACACGACATTCTGATGTCCGCAAGACCGGAATCATTGCGTCATCCTTGGAGAATGTAGGCGATGTTGTGTACAAACATTTCCAACCATATGTCTGTCGTCATAAAACTCATTGCAATGACAGAGACAGCACGTAACTTAAGCGTGACGTCATCATCCGATTTTCCGATGAACAACCCACTTTACACTGACATTTATTAAGGGTCCCATGTACCTAATAGGAATTGAGTAAACAATCCAAATAAATGAGTTGAGTAAACGGTAAAAATCGAGTAAGCTTAAAAATACTTAAGTGTGCCTTTAGAGAAAAATTTATGATGTTACATATGTATAACATCTTAACCTTAATTTCACAATGAATTCGAAACACAAAATATTTACTCTAAGTAGCCCTAAACAGACACTTTCAAAATTACGAATGAAGTACCTAGGCTTAAATACAGGTTAGTACACTTTTTATGGTGTTACTAGAATTAACATGGTAAACTGCATATATAAAATTAACTGCATACCATATGAAGAGGAGACACACCTATACAAATAAAAACTGTTCATCGCATCTAGCCTGAAAATACCTTTGCTTAATTATAAGGCGGACAATTGCAAACATTAAGCAACTGCAGCTTATAGCAGCTAATAAGTATTATGTACTTCCTAATGATAAAATTTACTTGTTTGATTCATCAAATGTTTACTGCCACCCATTCCCATTAACATCATAGCTTCTCGATTTATAGTTTACCACCAATGTTGTAACTATATTTATTAATATCTTGTGATAACGAAAAGTCCATGTCAGACCCATCATATGTTGAACATGCTTTATGAACCTTAAGTTTATTTAAATACTGCTCTCATATGTATATACTATTTTGTATATCAAAATCACTACTTTCAACTTACTCATACATTTTTGCAGGAGCTACAAGTTTCTGGTAGAGTAGCATTGAAGTTTTTGAATAAAATAAATGAAATTACGAAATACTTACACTAACAGTTTTTAAAATACTTTCTATTCTTGCCAATGCCAAATAATTGGCTTCATCAGTTCCATCGGTTAGACCTGCTAAAGCTACTCCGGTAAGATCATCTTTGTACTTTAATATATGTTCTATACTCTCATTACATCTCTTTGGCATCCCCGTTGCTACTATTACACCTGGAAATAATTAATTAAATTTTAGTGCAAGAAATAAAACACATGAACAAAACTCATGTGTTGTTACAGGGAAATATTTTTCTAAATTGAATAATTCTTAAATTGGTATCATTAACTGCCTACTAGTCAGAAAGATATGTAGCCATTTAGTTACTGATATCTGTTATTAAAATATATTTTGTTCTCGTTTAATGTTTAAATTACATTGTTGTTTAAGACAATACGCGCAGAAACAACATGAAAAAAATACAAACAAACAGTAAACCTGAAGTTTTATACTTATAAACTTTTCTAAATGTTTACTTATTTTCTATATTGAGCAAACACATTCAATTTACTTAATCCAAACCCACAGCAGCTTAAGTGAATTTTGAATCATGGTTTTATATAGATGTAAAGTGCTATAAACCAACCAATTAGGGCACTATATCGAAACTGCTTTGAGGCCTTATATCGATACACGCAAGTATCCAGCATATTACAGCTTCTGTCCAGGGACTTCATGATTCTTTTGTATCCCTCGTTAAGTGCTGTCCGGCCATCTGCAATCGCCAAAATTATTTCTGGTTTGTATACTTCCATCAAATCCATATATCTGAAATATTTTTTATTTGGGAAATAATAAGCAAAACATTCTAACATAATTCATCCAAGGCTGTTACTAAGAAAGTTTATTCTTATTTACATTTGTGATTTATACAGAACCATAAATGTTGAAGCCTCACCTGTCTGCATTAACCATTTTCTTTCCATTTTTGGTCCAAAGAGGTACTTTTTCAAGTTCAAAATGCCCTGAAGGTGTAACTTCATTCATGTTGTGTGCTGATACACAAGTTAAATGTTGAGGGAGGCCAACAAACTTAGCCACACCTTCTCCTTGAGCCTTCATACCAGGTTCCAGTTGTAGAGAGTTTGAAACAGGCACCCATAACAGTTGTGGAGTAGAAAATACTTTAGCTAACACTTCTGCTGTGAGATGCAGCACACTGCCACCCTGAAATGTAAATATTTATTTATGGTTTATTTTTTAAGAGCATTAACACCTTATTAGATACAGATTTATTGAATATTATAAATAAAGTGTATTTCAAACAAGTTAAGTTACTAGTTAGGAGTAGACTCATACATACAAATTAAGTATAGATATACAACTAACACTTTTTATTGTAAAACCCAAGGCAATTACCTAGTTCAGTTTCGATTTTACATTGAAATTAAATATCAAGGGGAAAACCCGAGGTCAATGTGAGTGTCATTTATGTCTAAATTAATATCATAACTCTACCAACACGGGTAGGAAAATTATGGTTTACATATTAAAGCTGCATGGTATGACATGGAAAATCTTAGGAAAATGCGACGGAAAATGGTTTAGTCGCGAACCATGCATATTATGGCACAAAACATGGATTATTCTCTGAGTGTTATTCATATTAGGAAACCACCCACGCATTTTTCTGTAATGAATGACTCACTAGGGTTAAAAAATGATCAATATTTAGTAAACTACCTGAGTAAACAGAGCTGCTGTCGGGGTTTCAATAACTGTGGCCGGAGATTTCGTAAATCCTGTTAACGTACCAACACGTTCACTACCGAGGGTTGCATGTTTAATTGAAAAACGCATTTTAAATGATTTGATAATTAGATTATTTAATAATCTTGGTAACTTTATTTACAATTATTTGCGCGCTTCGTGCTGTTTTGCTAACCTCAAAGTCAAAGTTGTCGTTTCGAGTTGCCAGCTTTGAAAACCAATGGGTGGTGTTGCTATTTAATACATTAATTATAGTTTCGGACTAAATCATAATCGTAATAACTTATATTAAAAAAAATATCTAACAATAATGAACCTCTCAACAACGCATTAAATATTGACATTTTGTTACGAATTTACCACTATTAGTAGGATGAAAATTAAATGGCTTCACTAGCTCTGCCCCCGTTAGTAAAAAAGACGCATCTAACATTTTTTCCAGATTTGAGTTAAATACATTGCCGGGATCAGAAAAAAAAGGCGCATCTGCCTGTATTTTTAATATTTTGCTAACTTTCTCCAGTGCGGTTTTAACACAACGAAATAAGACGCTTCTGTATTTTTTTTAAATCTGATTGGAGATGAAAAGACGAATTTATCGGAAACTTAGTTGAAAAGTCGCATTTAAGTAGATAATGTCCATTTAGTCTAAAGTTTTTTTCTTAGTTCGGTAATGTAAAAGGCACATATTTGTCCCTATTTCTAAGAGGAAGTTAATAAGACGCAAATACGCGTTTACGTCTAACACGCTATGTAACAATTGAGTTCATAATAAGAAAAAAAGACCACATCTAACAACTTGCGCCCTATTTATTTCGTAAAATTGATTTCGCATAGACGTATTTGCCATAAGCGCCTTAATAACTTACGTTAAAAAAAAAATTAAACAACAGTTAGTTAATAAAAAAGACGCAAACGTGCATATACGTCGATAGATAGATATAAGGTCTTATTCCCCAACATCGTTAGAACAATTTCGTTGGGGCAACAATCTGTTTTTCGTTCTAATAAAATCGTAAAGTAGGTATGTAGGTAATTTAAAATTTTGTTCTTACCTTATAAAAATAAAAGTACATGACTCATATATTTTATTTTTATATTGTTTTTATTTAACGTACCTAATTAGAAAAACTTAAGTGATTGTAATCTTTGATTTTACAAGGTATAAGAAAGTTACATTTTTTATTTTAAATTAATAATTGTAGGTACAATCTGTGATTTTATTAGGTATAAGAAAGTTATATTTTTAATTAATAAATGTAACATGATTCATATATTTTATTTTTTTAACGTACCTACCTAATGGGGATTATTGAACTTTTTAGTTCACTTATCCCCATTAAATAAAAATTTTGGGTCAACGGGGAATAGTGAACAAAAAGTTCACTAATCCCCATCAATGGGGATCATCCAACGGGGAAAAGTGGAATAAGCCCCTTTTTTTAAAAAATTGTGTATAAAGCGAAGCTTGCGCGGGGTGTTGGGGGGGTATGTTTTGTACGGTGCCTGACTAGTTTCTTTGCCAGTTGCGCCCGAGTAAGTTGTTGAAGAGATGTGTCCCGGTTGCGCAAGTTTTCGCTGCGTAATTCGTCGTATAAAGTAAGTAGGTATATTTATTATTTTCTGTTTTGGTATAAAAAATAATATCAAACTAACATGAAAAGAGGTCGATGCTTTGAGTTAGTTAATAGGTAAAGCTTTAGCTTCCACTAGTACGGAAATTACAAATAGTACCTACTGGAGTAGAAACTACAGAGCGTATGACAGTCTTTGCAATCGTAGTTCAATTTTAATCTGTTTAGTTGATATAAGTGATTACAATCTGTTTAGTTGATAGTGTATGCCACTGATTCATTAATGTACTCAGAAATCGACTTGCGCAAGACGACATGCATACTCCATCCTTGGGACTTTCATTGAAAAGCCTGTATAATGTCGCAGCTAGAGTTTTGACATAATCAAATCGAGCTAAAAAATTCCTTGAGTGCCTTGCTCATTGTGATTATCAAATCGCTGCTGGAAATAGGTTTCTCTTGTAAACATATGTCCATCGTTTCGCATCAGGCGCAAGCATCGTGCTCTGGAGTATCAGGATTAAACTCAGGTGACGTTATTTTCGTGCTGGCTGCACGTGGTTCCCGTATAGTACGAATGAATTATATCATACTTTGTTGCTGCATTTTAAAAAGACGTTTCCATATTTTAATCTCCTTATCTTGTGAAATATTAACGTGCTGACCTGTATTCTGTTCCTGAGTCGTTACAGGTAATCCCACTTCTGAGCGTCAGAAGGAGCCTCGTGGCGGTCATGGTTGTCACTTTCTATCTTGGGCGTTGTAACGACCGGAATTAAAAATAAAGGCACGCTTGTATTATTTGGTTTCCTCGCTATTTTATTCACAATCACACAATCAATATTTTTTTTTTTTTTTGTGAGGGGAAAATCATCAAATGACTTCTCCCGCCCAGGGTCGGGCGGGAGGGAGTGTCAGACTCTTACTGACTAAAAACCCTCCTGTTCCTTCTCCTTCTCTGTGCCGAGGTCGCGGTTCCTCATTGCGCTTACCCCGCAACCCCGGCTGAACATCAGCCATTTAGGGCCCCCGTCTGTGGTGGTCTATTGGCTCTTTGAGGCGCGCGCGGACCGCTACGCGCCGTACACTCGGGCCTGGTACTGGTCGGGCGGCGAGCTGCCCTTACTCGCCGACCGCAGGCCCGTGCTTACGGTGGCCGGAGATCGTCCCTTGATCCCCGACGCCCGTAGTTACTTTACTTACTTGCTATAAATAAACTAGTGCTTGACTGCGATCCTACCTGATGGTAAGCAGTGATGCAATCGTTGATGGTAAGGCGCACTAGTTTATTAAGAGCCTATTCACTCTAGCCTTGAAGACACCTAAATTATATTTGGACGGAAAGACTGCAGCCGGCAAACTGTTCCAATCCCTCGATGTACGCGGTATAAATGACGAGGCAAAGCGCTTAGTCCGGGCCAGTAGTGTCGCCAGTTGCGGCTGCTGGGGCGTGAGGAGGGGGATTGCTGCCTCACGCAGGCCGACTCTCTCTTTGCGAGCTTGACTGCTTCACAAAAGGAGGAGACGGCGTCCCTGTTCCTCTCACTCCGCACCATGGCCTCGCGAAGGCCGGGCGCGAGAGGTCGCCGCCGCCGATCACTTCCCTGATACGGCGGTGCTCAGCCCAGGCAGGGCATACCGTTACCGTATGCTCCACCGTATCCTCTAGGTGGTCCTCACAATGACGACACTCGGGCGTTTCCTCCCGCTGGATTCGAAACAGGAACCTACCGAAGCTGCCGTGCCCGGTAAGCACCTGCGTCAGGCGGAAGGTGAGGACGCCGTGGCGTCTCTCAAGCCACTCCTCAAAGAGGGGTCTTACCGCTGCTATAGTAGCGTGCCCGACAATCAATAAGATGGAATGAGAATTTGAGCAAATAATAATAGGTTAGCGAGCAATAGGTTAGCGTGTACACTTCGGCTGGCAGCTGTCAGCAAGATGCCCGCTGCCATTCCTCGTAGTGACACTTACTACCCTATTCGGGGTTACCCGCTCATAATAATGTTACCAATAAATTAAAAATTGAGTTATGATTAACAATCAATTGTAAAGACAATACAATTATCTTTGTTTTTAAAAATAATCCATAATCAGTCGCCAGCGCCGTCATATATAATTTTAAGTTTTCGAGCCAGTTAAAATATAAATGAAGAGTGATGTTTTTGTTTCTTTTGATATTGTTTTTTTTTACTTTAATTATCATAATGTTGTTGGCAAAAAACTTTTTATAGTAGTGTGATAAATAAAGATATAAGAGATTTATAATGGACCTGTACCTGTTTAAGACTGATAATGCTTAACACCGTGACATTGCTCAAGTGTAATTCTTATAGTTCTAATTTAAATTATAATTGAATATGCCAAGGTTAGCATTTTGTGTTTTGTTATTAGTCAAAAGCATTTTAAATAAATATTTCATTGTATCAATTGCGTTTTATTTAATAATAATGCATTAATAAACTCGTAGTCATCATAATAAACTATTATTATGATAACTACGAGTTTATTAACATTTAAACCATAAATAAAAGAATTATTAAATTATTATTTAAACATTTTATCTTAGTCAAGGGACATCTATGAAGTTATTTATTCTTAAGAAAAAAGGCGGAAATGACCATATGCGCCCATTTTTGTTAAAAATATATACTAGATAAATAATATAAATACTTAGAAGAAAAGTACAGGCAAAGGCGTTTGAAAATTAAAGGACGCATCTAGCCATTTACGTCTATTCAATTAAGTATGTGATATTTTTCCTAATTTTTTATGCTAAGATGAAAAGGTTTTTCTAATATTTTTATTATAATAATTTAATAAATTCATATTATTATTAAACCATGTCAAAGGTCTTTTTAATGGGCTTTATTTTCAACTTTTCATATCTAAATATTTTAATTCACACGAACACAGCAAACAATTTCTTGTTTCATTCACTAAAACATTTTTTTCTCCGTTTTTACTTTTTGTTAGATACGTCTTTTCAACTATCAGGGGCAGAGCTAGAGGATCGACTGACAGACTGAAAAGTTACTATAGGTTACTGTTACACTGTAAGAGTCATGCTTCGGCACGAATCAAATGGGCTGATACGACTGCAGGTGATAGATCTCTAAAAAATATTGATTTCATTTTGTTGTTCTACCAGTAACAGGCCAAATCATGTTTTTCAAGTTTTACGTCATTACTTTTTCTTCGCTAATGTTGCAACCTATACTACCTAACTAGCTTATTATGTACCAACTTTGGTTTGGTAGTTAAATATTTAATTGGGTGCTGTTTGGATTAGTTAGGTATGAGGGGCTACGATTAGGCCTGCGGTAAAATCATTTACACAGCAAAACACAACACAACCTTTGTTTCACGGTGGTTTTCTGACTCCAAGAGAAAGTCATAGTAATGGGTCAAGGCATTCTTTCTTATACCTACAGTCAACCCTGTCCATTCGCACCTAACCATGCCTCTCCCACGAGTGCATACAGTCACTTTTGTAAAAGATTTCAATCCCTTCGTAGGTGTAGCAACGGAGTTAATTAATTCTTAATGCCGATTATGATGTCTTTTCCGTGGCGTTTTATTAATACCTATACTTACTCTTCGTAGGGGTGGTCTCACAAGAAGGGTGCCCTCCCTTTTACATCTC